GGCTGGAGGCAGAGGGGAAGGTGGAACGTGTTCTCCACTCTCTGACCTTCTTGGTGGAGGATAACTTGCCCTTTGATGTGTTATTAGGCATGGATTGGGGTGAGGCTGCGCATGCGGACCTAAAGTTAAGGGAACATGAATGTTGGCTTCCAAGTCTGCAAGGAGGTAAAAAGAAAATCCGCCTTTTTCATGAATCTGGTAAGGAAAGCAGCCTGGCTCATTGTTGTATGAGTGCCCCCGCGTTCGCCCGTCATGTGAAAAAGTATAATTTGTACGACCAAGTCTTTGTTGCATATGTGCGCCCAGTAAAGGAAGGAGAAACTAAAGAAGAAGTCAGGACTCAAGAGAATGAGAGAATCCTGAAAGAGTTCGCAGATATTGCAGAAGCCCCAAGTGGTGTGGCGGAAAGACCAATCCGCCACCGCATTGATATCATTCCAGGGAGCGCGCCCCCGAAGGGGCCTATCTATCGTATGTCGCCCCAGGAATTGGATGAACTGCGAACCCAACTCGATGAGTTGTTGAAAAATGGTTGGATAAGACCTAGCTCCTCGCCCTATGGTGCGCCTGTGCTCTTTGTGCCTAAAAAGGACGGCGGCGTTCGCATGTGTATAGATTATAGGAGGTTAAATGATATAACAGTGAAAAACGACGATTTGCTAGATCATGTGCACGGAAGCAAAATATTTTCAAAGATTGATCTGAAATCCGACTATCATCAGATTGAGGTTGAGCCGGAAGACCAACACAAGACTGCCTTTAGGACAAGGTATGGGCATTATGAATTCGTAGTTTTGCCCTTTGGTCTAACGAATGCCCCTGCTACTTTCCAAAGAACGATGAACGAACTCTTTCGTGAATGGCTCGACAAACTTGTTGTGATTTATTTAGACGATATTTTAATTTTTAGCAAAAATGAAAAGGAGCACGCTGAGCACCTTCGACTTGTGTTAAATAAATTGAGAGAAGCTAAAATCCAAAGAAGTGTGAATGGGCTAAGCGTCAGGTGTTATACCTGGGACATGTGATTGATGGAGATGGGGTCAAACCGGAAGATGCCAAAATAGCAGCAATCAGAGATTGGCCAAACCCCCGCACCCTGACTGAGTTGCGGTCGTTTCTTGGGTTAGCCAACTTCTATCGAAAGTTCGTAAGACACTTCACGATAATAGCTGCTCCCCTTCGCCGATTGCTTAAGAAAGAAGTAATCTGGAAGTGGGATTCAAATTGCAAGATGTCTGAAAAGCGTCTGAAAAAGTGTTTGATTAATTATCTGGTTCTTAAAGTGGCAGACCCTTCTTTACCTTTCGTAGTCACAACCGACGCTAGTCAATATGGTATAGGTGCTGTCCTTCAGCAAGACGATGGGCATTGATACAGGCCCGTGGAGTTTATGTCTTGCCGACTGCCTAATGAGAAGGTGGCCGCTTCGACGTATGAAAGAGAGTTGTATGCACTGCGTGAGGCTCTCAATCATTGGCGACACTACCTTCTGGGACGACATTTTAAAGTGTACTCTGACCATGAAACACTTTGCTGGCTCAAAACGCAAGCTCGAATGACACCTAAGTTGACAAGGTGGGCTGCGGAAATTGATATGTTTGATTTTGAGTTGAAGCCAGTAAAGGGTATATACCGCTGTTGTTGATGCACTAAGTCGTAGATCAGACTTTTTCGGTGCTATTGTGACTTATCTAGATGTAGGTGCAGACCTACAAGAAAAGATTAGAAATGCGTATCCCTCTGATCCTGTTTATGGAACCATGATTAAGCTAGTGCAAAAAAAGCCAGCAGAGTTTCCCGATCATAAAGTAACTCGGGGTCTATTGTTTGAACGAACTGACGTGCATGATAGGCTGTGTATACCGAATAATGAGGAGATCAAGAGTATGATCCTGGGGGAATACCATGATACAGAAGGCCATTTTGGGTGGAAGAAGACCTATGGGACCTTGTTACGTTCCTACACCTGGCCTCGAATGAAAGCGGATCGTATCGCGTATGTGCAGGGTTGCCAAGTGTGCCAACGAAACAAAAGCACCACGCAATCGCCCCTCGGGCTACTTAAGCCCTTGCCTATCCCTACCGGCCCTGGAGACTCTGTCTCTATAGATTTTATGGACACTAAGGTAAAAAGCAGAAATGGGAAGACGCAAGTAATGCTCATAGTGGATAGATTCACTAAGTTTGCTGTTTTTGTAGCTTTGCCTGCAGAAGCAAAGACTGAATTGGTAATTCGGGAATTCTTTAACCATTGGGTAAGAGACTTTGGACATCCCTTAACTATTGTGAGTGACAGAGATACCAGGTTCACAAGTGAACAATGACAACAACTGATGGATGTATATGGTTCTAAGTTGACAATGTCATCAGGTAGGCATCCTGATACTAATGGTCAGACTGAACAGATGAATAAGATCTTGCAGCAGACTTTGCACATGTACATTCGTCCCGACCAGATTGACTGGGATGAACAGCTGCCTAAGGTTGCTAGTGCCTATAATAACTCTGTGCACCTATCTACGTGTAAGACTCCTATGGAGTTACATCTCGGATGGCGTCCACGCAGACCCATTGATCGATTGAACCCGGATCAAGTACATAAGCTTCCTGTAGGGACTAGTGAGTTTGCAGTCCAATATCAGAAAGACATTGAGAAAGTAAAAGAAAATATACTTAAAGCACAGCATCAAATGATTGAACAGGCAAATAAACACAGACGCCTGTCTCAATTTGTTGTAGGAGATTTGGTTTGGGTGAAGTCTAAAGAGTTTGCTCCTGAAGAGAACATCTCTCAGAAGCTTCTACCCACCTACCGAGGACCTTGGCAGGTTCTAGACGTAATTGGARATGTGGATGGTCCTTCGTATGTCATTGAGATTCCTCCTCATCTACGTACATATCCAGTGTTCCATGCATCCAAGCTCTWACCTTGTGTAACGAATGAGCTCTTCCCAAGTCGCCGGTCGGCGATACCTCCAAGTATGGATGRGAAGTATGGCGTGGATAAAATTGTTGCGGAAAGTACTTACCACACTGGACGTAGAGGCAGACCACAACGACAGTATAAAGTAAGGTTTGCATATCAAGATCCTAGTGAAGATCGCTGGTTTACAAGAGAGGAACTGTTAGATTCTGCACCTCATATTGTGTCTGCATACGAAAGT